GCCCGGGGCAGGCTCGGGAGACACTGCCACGCGCCCCCGCGGGCCACCTGCCGAACTCCCGCAGACCTCCGAGACCCCGGCGCACGCACGCCGCCATTCATACCTTAAGCATTTATTGACCACCTACTGTGTGCCTGGCTCTCCGGGATTGCATGCCTAGGAATGGCAAGGGCTTGGCGCTCAATGGATCTTTGAAATGACAGCAAGCTTGCACGGGGCTCCGTGGCTGAGTTGGGGGTCGCGCTGACTCCAGCGCAGCGCTCCTCGGCGGGTCCTAGGACGCTAAGCGGGTTAGCTGGTCCCGAGGCCTGCAGGGCCCCTAGCTGGCGGGCGTTCCTGCCGGCCTCTTCCGCCTCCTCCCACACCTGCCTTCCTGCGCTCTGAGTGCACTTTCCTCTCCATCAAACCCTCTGAACTTGACTCGCCTCGGGGCGTTTGCACTGCCTTTCCCTCGGGGTGGGACGTCTTTTCCCCAGCTTTGCTGGTGCCCGGCGCCCTCTCACCGCACAGGTACCTTTCGTAGGAGAGGCCTTTCTGGCTACCTTTCTAAACTAGACCTGGCCTCTTGTCCACACTCCACGTCCGTTATCGCCTTCTAAGCTTGTTTCACTTATCCATTTAACAGTTACTTACGTTCTTCACACTTAATATATAGACAAAAATTCTGTTCCCTTGCTGGGAGTTTGGAAGGGAGTCTCTCGCAACAAACAACAGGTCCGCAAGCAACGCAGTGTGTGAGGTGATAAATTCTTAAGAACAGGGAAAAAGAGCCGGGCAAGAAGGCTAGGGGGTGGCCCGGTGAGAGCTGGTGGAACAGCCGGATCAGGTGACAAATACCATTCAGTCATGCAACTAAATGAGGAAGCTTTCCTAGGACGGAAAAGCCAGTCCCAAAACAAGGAGCGCACGTTTTGTGCCTATGACACGGGAAAGAGGGCAGAGGGGCAGATGGAGTCGGTTACTGGCTGTTTCTCTTGACTTAGATCCCCCCCTTAAGGAGTCCCTAGCTTCAGTGTCAGTTCGGTAGCTCCGCCTCTCAAGAGACCTAGCCTCTAAACAACTGGGCACGAACTAAGAACGTTTTGTTGAATGAAGATGTTAACAAAAGGATGGAGAGATGGGTAGGACCCTATGGTCGGACCTGGGTGCCAGATGTCCCGAGAACCTTTTGTGCCCATGCCACCATGGGGCCCTCGACCGTGTCTGATTTCCTGGTTTAGATCCTGATCCCGGTCCCAAGGTAGCGCACAGCTAGGGACGCCGATGGAGCGCCGCGTCCGGGGAATTCCGACAGAGCCCGGAGTTCCAGGGGCTGCACTGTCCTGGCCCCGCCTAGGATCGTAAGCAAAACCTGGAGCCACGACGCCGTGGCAGCACTATTCGGACCGGCAGGGAAAGCACTGGGCATGCTCGGAGCCTGGGGAGCCCAGAATCCGGAAGGAAAAGCCCCCTGGAGGGGTTGGTGAGGCTGCCCACTGAGTCCCACCTGGCCATCCCATACTTAGCTTTCTGCCTCCAGGCAGGCAGTGCTGGGTAACCCTCCTCCCCCAAGCATGGTGGGAAGACCTGGAATTCAGAGTCAGCTGACGGCACACTCTGTCCTCTACCAGCTGCTGTGTGATCTGCTACCAGAGCCTTGCGCTCTCTGTGCCCTAAATAATGCAAATGCCTACGCTTGCATCCGGGGGCGTGTGGGGACTGAAAAAAAAAAAAAAAGAACGTGAATTTATTCAGTCCACTTTAAATATTTTCCCCCTTGCTGAGGCTTGAATCCAGGGCTTTGCGCACAGTAAGCACGAAACTCTGCTGCTGAACTAGAAGCCCCGCCCCAAGAGTTATTTCTGAAGTGCCTATCTTAATTATCTGTCATCCTCTCATAACACAGACTACTAAGGTGAGGCATCGGGGAATTCTTAGAGCTGTCCAGTTGAAGTCGGCTGAAGTAAAACTGTTACCCTTTCTCTGCTCATCATTGCTTAAGCAATGCTCTTGGATTTGAGCTAGAAAATAGCTGTGAATCTTAAAGCCTTAAAGATTATTATTTTTTTTTTTGAGACAGGGTTTCTCTGTGTAGCCTTGGTTGTTCTGGAACTCGCTCTGTAGCTCAGGCTAGCCTCGAACTCAGAGATCAACCTGCCTCTGCCTCCCAGGTGCTGGGATTAAAGGCCTGCGCCACCACCACCCAGTAAGATTTTTTTTTTCAATGAATATATTTCATAACAGCACCAGGAACATAATAAAAGAATCCTTTTCTCCAACTGGAAACAAAGCAGATGCTCAGAGGGAGGGTAGTGGTTGTGTTCCGATACATTCATGGAAATAATGATCACAACTAGATCTCTCTGGGTCCTTGATAGGGTTCAGTGGTAAAGGCACTTGCAGCCAAGCTTTGTGACCTGAGTTCAGTCAGCCCCCAATCCCTACATGATGTGGAAGACTGACTCCTGTAAGGAAGTTATCCTCTGACCTCCACGTGTTTGCACACGCATACATAGAAATAAATAAAACTGTAATTTAAAATGTGTTTACAAGTGTGCTGCAACAGGAAAACAATGATGAACGAGAATACTGAAAACTATAAATTGTGGAAACGCTGCGTGGACACACTCACCAAAAGTGCAAAACATAAAGTTTTGAACCCAGGAGTGGTGGTGTACCCTGTTTCCATGCTTGTTTGGTTTTTAAAGTTGATTAATGTCTTGTAGCTGTGCTTGTGATAGGAAACACATAAAAACCTAGTCATGGTGCACATCTTTAATCCCAGCACTGGAGGTAGAGGCAGGCAGGTCTCTGTGAGTTCTAGGCCAGCTTGGTCTACAGAGCAAGTTCCAGGACAGCCAGGGCTTTATAGAGAGACCCTGTCTCAAAAATCCTCCCCCAAATAAATACTCAAAAGATTAATTTTTTTGTCTTGTGTATATCTTAACTGCTGTGATTAAGTTCAAATGTGGCCAATGTTTTCCATGAATTCTTTCTTCAATCCTTATAATAGGTGGTTTTGCTGTTGGCTTTCAGCTCAGTTTCACTGAAAACAATTGGGGTGGGTTCACAGCTGGAGATGGGGATGGGGGTGAGGGGGGTATGTGTGTGTGTGTGTGGGTTCATATTGGTGACACACTGGGGAGGATTTGAAGGCAAGCCCATTGACCTCATAGTGGAGTGTCAGGTTTTATGGTCTGTCACCCTGTGTAAAGGAGATAGCCATTGATGGATGAGTAGCAGAGACTATCATTTCGGTCTGTCTTTTGTGTGCCTCCCCACCCCCCACTCCCCCCAACCCCGCCCGCCCGCCCGCCCTAGTTTGATGTATTCTGTAGGCTGTGGATTACTTTTAACATCCTGGTCTCCTGTTACTGTTTTGTTCTTGGGGCCAAAATATTCAAGTCCAGCCTTTTTAATCTGGTGCAGCTGGATTGGCATGATGTTATTAGCCTCAGTGACAGGTGATCTTATAGTCGTCTACATGCCCCATCTTATGTGAATGGGGCTTTTGGGTGGACATGTAATCTTCACAGTTGAATTTAGCCAGCTCTAAAAGCAAATGAGGCACAGTTGTGAATAGGGCTGTTCTGAGCCCCAGAGAATGAGGCCAGGCCCAAGAGATCCGTGTAGATAGATGGTGTCCCTGGACAGTCGTTTGGGGGGCGGGGTCACAGCTTAGTGGAGACACACTGTCCACAGACCCCCCTCAGGACTCCGTGCTGCTGCTGTTTGCTGGAACAGCCCTTCGACAATTTAGCTCCAAAAGTTAATTTGCTCTTTGTCTTAATGGTGCTGGCACAGAAATCCAAAACCCCAAACAGCAAACGGGGGCGGGGGGTGGGGGGGGATGATTTCATGGCAGAGGAAGATGCACAGCAGGCTAAATGTTGTTCACCGCTGGTTAGAGAGCGGACTGGTGGAGGAGGAGTGTGGTGTGAGCAGCAAGCACGGTGAGCAGCAGCCCCAAGACACCGTGTGTGCCCAGTATCCAGTGCCCAACACCGCAAAGCAGCCATTGGTTGGGGGAATCAGTGGGAAGAGTTTCCTGGAAAAAGCACCACAGACCATCAGTCATTCCCATCAAGACTCAGGAAATCTGGACAGTGATTGAGTGGCAGGGATCCCCGCTGGCTTGCTAATGCTTATGAATTATTTGTGCTGTTAATGCGAGCTCAAGAGGGGTTCCAGAACAGAGGAGGACGGGTAAGTGGTACTGATGGAGCGCGTGAAAAAAGAATAAGCCGGCAAGTGTTGTGCATAGGATGGCCTCCGCGGAGACTAAAATCGCCGGGTTGAACCGTAGAAGGTTGCCATTGTGTGGGTCAGAATGACTGAACACGGCCAGCTCCGTGTGTTTCAACTCAGTGAGTTGCACAAACCTCTGAATGGTGGCTGGGTCTTACTATCACCTTTTGGGGCAGAGAAGCAGCCACAGAAGGTATCGTACGTGAATGAAAATGTCCTTAGAGTCACAGGCTCTCATTCTACAACAAGCCTGGTTTCTTTTTATTGGGGGGAGGGGAGGATGAAACAAATGTTAAAGCTGGCAAGAGAAAAAAATTCCGGAAAGAGAGGAAAAGGGGTTATTTGGAGATTACAAAAAGTAGGAAGACATTGTTTTCATGGAGGACCAAGCAGGTCTTTCCCTTGTGGTGGCAGTGGGTAGCAGTTTCCTGGCCCAAGAGTAAGAGAGAGGAGGAAGTGGTCAGTCCAGGACCCCTCAAACCTGGAGCATTCTATTTATTAGGCACCTACTGTGTGCCGGGCACTACTCTACATGCTTGGGTAACAGCTCAGCTGTGGACAAAACAAACAGCTGGCGCTCAATGAATTCGAATGCAGGGAGTTAAGAGGA